TGAGCCCAGGAGTTTGAGGTTGCTGTGAGCTAGGCTGACGCCACGGCACTCTAGCCCTCTAGCCCAAGCAACACAGTGAGACTCTGTCTCAAAAAAAAAAATAAACTAAAATAAAATAAAATACAAATCTCACCTAGACTCACTTCTGCTGAAAGTTTTGATTGGCTTCCTTTAATTTTTGGATAAGGACAAAACTCTTCAGTATGGCCAAGGCCCGGCTCCCTCCGGCTCCCGCTTCAACTATACCCACTCCATTCAGGTCTCTTAGCCCAGCCTTGCGTCACCATGCTTTCTTCTGCCACACAGCCTTTGCAGACATGATTCCATCTGCTTTAGAGGGCTTCCCTCCCTTCTTTGTAAAAGGCATCAGATTTCACACCAAGCTTCCGCTCATCAGAAAAGCCTTTCCCGTCCTACCTAATAACTCCTTAATGTGACCTCTAATTTGTCAGGTCACAGTTATATTTCTGCATTTGCTTATTTGATTCTTTGAAAATGTTCTTCTCTCTCTCCTTTAGACTGTAAGCTCCGGGGAAGGAAAATCCTTGTCTGCCATTGTATCTTCAGGGCCTAGCCGTGCCTGGCACACAGTAGCTCAACGAAATCTACTGAATGAGTAAATAAATAAAGCATTTTATTATATCTAAAGGCATGGCTTTGGGAGGGGAGCAAAAGGCAGGTCAATACTTGAAGCTTGTGTGTACATTTTTTAAGATGGAATAAACTTGAACAAGATCGTACGCGGCCCTCAAAGAACTCAGTCTAGGCGGGGGATCGAGACGATCGTTAACTGGGGAGCAACTTCCCTCAGGAAGGGCATCCACTAAAACAGACCACTGAAGGGGTCAGAAACCCCAGGGGAGGCAGGGGGCGTGTCGCCGGGGTAGCGGCCGGGGAGCGGGAGGGAAAGTAGGCCGAGGGAGCCGGCCCGGCCAGAGCCGTTTCCGCGCGTCCCCAGACTGTCCCTGCGCTCACCCAGCCCGGCCGCGGGGGCCCCTCTGGCTCGTCCCCGACCCCCACAGCCACCTCTCCCACCACGAGCCTGCCTGCGGCCCGCCTTACCCGCCCGGCAAGGCCCGGCAGCCGCTCCTGTCAGGGCGCAGAGCGTTCGAGCCCGGAACGCGGAGACAAGGCCGGCGCCGATTGGCGACGCTCCGTCACGTGACCGCAACGCTCCGCCGGCGCCAATTTCAAACAGCGGAACAAACTGAAAGCTCCGGTGCCGGACCCCACCCCCGGCCCCGGGCCGGGACACCCTCCCCTCCCGGGATCCCCCGGGGTTCCCACCCCTCCCACACGGCCGGGGACCCGGCCGGCCCGGCGCGAGTCCCTGTCCGGGGCCCTGGCTCGGCCCCCAGGTTGGAGGAGCCCGGAGTCCGCCCTCCGAGCCACAGCCCGGCAGCGGCGGCGGCGGCGGCTGCAGTCTGGAGGTGAGCGGGGCGCAGGAATGGAGTCCGAGGCCCGGCCCGGCCAGTGGCAGGGAGTAGGGGCTCGGGCGCCGCTTCCGCAAGTCGTCCGGGCGCGGAGGTCACGACATGTAGCAGCGGGGCCCGGGCCACGAGTGGAGATTTGGGGCCATACGGGAAGGAGGTCTGAGCGAGAGGGTGCAAATTTTCTCTGCATCCAACCTCCTGGTCTTGGCCTTCTGACTTCCTGCTCAAAGCACCCCTGGACCTTCCCTCGAAGTTTGACCTCTGCACCCTGCCCACAGGCTCGGGAGGGCTGGGGTGGCCTGCTTTCTTAGTGCGGACTTGGCCGGGATGAAGACTAAGCTTGTTCTGCACTGAGTCAAAGACCAACCCGCACACACGCTCCCCTACTCCCAGGCGCTCTCACCACTAGGCAACACTGCCTCCATCCTACTCTTTTGCAGGGACTTTCTCCTGGTTCCAGCGAATAGCGAGGTTTTCCTGTTCAGGACGGGGGTGGGATTAGAAGAGTCACTCTGGAAGTCTTCCCGGCCAGAAAGAGTTGGCAATAATAAGAGGCTGGTTAGGAAACAGAAGAGAAAATTAAGA